GCGGGTATATAATAAAATATTATTATATTATTATTCACATATATGTTGAAGGTTGTCATGTGTTCTGAAGTGTCTGCTGAGCTTTAGGAGTGGAGTGGAAGGCAGGAGATGAAAGGAGGAGGGGAAACTGGAGAGTGGTAGCAGGGGTCCTAAGACCAGGTAAGAGAGGCTGGAGGAGGCAGTCACTTCCTTCTCCGGGATATGGTTCTTTGACATGGTGAAGCAGGACCGCCGTCCTATCCTCCTTCCTGGGGAGCAGAAGCACAGCAATCGGAAACTGAGGAAGGTGCCCCCACCTGCTGGGGTGGAGAAACTGGGGTCAGAAGGTGAGGGCACAACCTGGTCATCCAGGACCTGCAGTGCTACCCATCACTGGGAACAGATTCATCATTGCCCAATGCAGTGAGGACCTGCATATCCAACCGCCTTGCAAGGCACAAGAGTCTTGCAAGTAAGCTCACTTTGCCCCACCTTTAAAAGCTTGGTGGGTGGGTATGCCTACCCATTGGGCAACTCTGTTGCTTCTCTGCAGCTCTGAATTCCTTGTCCTGATCCTAGGGGGAGACCAACAGCACCTGCTATTCACCAACAAGGGGAGAGCTTCTGAGACATGAAGCAGGCAATGCATTATTTGGTGGCTGTATCTGCCACCCCTGTGCAGCCTGCCACCTGAATTAGTCACCTCACCTTGCCTCATGGGTGGGCCAGCACTGCCTGGACCCCTTGGACTGCTACTCCTAGCCCAGATAGCCTCACTTTACCTGTCATCTAGCCTGAGTGTGGCTCTTGTGACTCCTTCCAAATCTAGTAAAAAGCCCCCCTGAACTCAATAGGACTTATTTTGGAATTGCCATGTATATGATTGCACCATTAATTGTAAGGGATGGGTGGATCTGACAGTTTCTGAGTCTCTCTCTCTCTCTCTCTCTCTCTCTCTCTCTCTCTCTGCTATCTTAACATCAGTTCTCCACATTTCTACATTAATAATTATTATTATTTTTTAAAGTCCTCATGAAAGCTCATCACCATTTCTCCTGATATACACATTTTAGGGCACTTTTGTTTAATGTTCACATTTTTGCAAATAATTTTCCCTCATGTGTTTTTGTCTGTTACTTTCACAAATGTATATGCATTTTATGCACACTTTATCCTAGTATACACACTTTTATACACATTGCTTGGCTGTAGAACTGCATTGTAAAATGTGGAAAAGTGCAAATTTTGAAAGATGGCTGTGTTTCATTTTGCACATTTCTTTGCAGAGTGCGAGTTTGGTAAGTGTGCCTTTAAATGCGAACTAAATCAGTTTTATCCATCACCCCTAGTGGTAGCCAACTGTGGCAATCTCCCCTCCCCACCCCAGAGGTTAATATGTCATGACAGTCAGCACAAGTCCTTGCAGTGAATCAAATCAAATCATTTGCCATGTCCACCGGTTTAAATAAATGACTATGATAAAACCAGAATGGCCACATCTCCATAGTGGGCTCCTGAGATGACAAATAAATTCAGCTCTGTCACCAGCGCAGGGTGCTGCCTTATATCATGTCTGCATAAATTAATCTTGCCAAATGTACTGGAGTTAACTGATTGCACATATTTGAATTACACACAGGTTGCAGATTGCCCATCTGCCCTTCATGCCTTTGGAGAGTCCTTCGCTGATGTTGCTCTGAATCTCTCAAGCAACAGCCCTTACAAATGTCCTTGACATTTTCTCCCAAAAGTGCATAGTATGTGCTCATTGAATTATTTTGGCAGTATTCGATTAATCCTGATGAGATGCTTCATTAAACCATAAAGTAGGGTAAATCTACACCGCTCGCTGTTTTATAAACCAGGAGGGCTTATAAGGATGCAAAATAAGATGCAATATGCTCTACAGAAACTAGGGCATAATGAGATGAAAAGCATTAATTAATACAACCCTTAAAAAAAACCTCTAGGATGTTGGCTCTTATCGATTTAATTATCTAGCAAACAAGGAAAATTCTCATTAGTGCTATTCTTAGATCTCTTATAACCATGGAGTAAACAGTGAAGGGTTTCCATCTTCATGGTTCTCATCTACATAAGTTTCTGCCAACACACCCTCAAGTGGTTTATTTCCTACATTTGTTCCCTCTTCCCCGACGTCATACGACCTGCATTCTTATTATAGATCCTTAATTCCTCCTGCTTTTCACCCATGTCCTCTGACTGCTCCTCACTCCTTAGCCCAGGACCATACAGTGTGGTAAATTTCTTGGCAGCCTTTGGCCTAACGTATTCCAGTTTAGATTTCCCAGCCCAGCCACACCATGCCTAAGGAGTATGTCAAAGCTGGACCTGTGCCTTTAAACACCTGCAAGTTCTTGAAGCCTCATCAATCATCACTGTTTATACTTCTGCCAACTGCTACAGCACATGAATCTGGACAATGTTATGTATTCGTGGCAGTTGTGGGAAGGAGCGTTGCACGGAAACCTAGAAATGTAGGTCTAGCTGGGACTTAAGGTCATATAATCCAAAATAACAGCACTGAGGTGGCATCCCTCAGATCAGACCTACACAAGTTTTGTTTCTCCAAGTCAAAACGGTAATCATGTATCATGCTTTGCTGCAAGCTTGGCTTCCATCATGTTTTTATAGTCTGCAGCAGACAAAAAAAGCCCAGCAAGATTATACAGGGTCTCTCAAACAGAAAAGGCTGAGCTTGGTACAAAATGAATAACCTATTCAGGTCCACTTCCCCATTTTAATGTTTTAATGTTATAACCTGCCCATGGACCTTAGGGTGGGTTGTTGTTGTTGCTGCTGCTGTTGTTTCTTCCCCAAGCCATTCTGTTCTGCATACCCTTAAAACACCTGCAAGCAACTAGGGTCAAGATAGCCCTGTGCCAACTAAGTGTGCATCCTCCAATATGTCCCAGATTCCTCTGCAATGTGCAGGGATTATGTGAAAGGCATCCAGAATTTCTTTGGCATATATGAGGGTGTACAGTGTTCTGTGAAGACAACCTTTTTCAATACCACTGCATATCAGCTATTGATTCTCAATGCCATTGTATATCAGGTATTAACTATGATGTGAGGACAGTTGTTTATCAGTAGAGCATCTGCTAGTAGGACTAGGTAATAATTTCATCTGAAACTCTGGAGAGTTACTGTCTAATACTGAGCTAGATGGATGGTCTGCCTTGGTTTAAGGGAACTTTCTATTTTCTACTAACTCTGAAGCATTTCCGCCATTTTAATATTTTAATAAGCTTTTCAACTTTTAATGAACTAAAAAGTTGCTATGACTAATCAAACCGCAGCTTTTAAAAAATTCAGACATTGTTATTTTAAAACATTTCAAATGCCTTGTAAATACTGACTCAGTCCCATGTTCCTCTCTCTTTCTCCCAGCAGGCAATGCTTCTTATGAGATTCTACCTGCAAGAAATATACTTTTTGTTTCAAAAATATTGTGTTGTTCATGCAAACATGAATATTCAACCAGCATATCAATTAATTGACTAAGATGATTAGTTGATTAAAATTATTTCATTAAATTGCCCTCCTTTCTAACAGGTTTCCAGGAAAAGAAGACAGACTGACATGTAAAACATTCTGATGCCCTTCTAAAAACTGGCTACCCTCCAATTCTCCAGGAAAAAGGCTGATTTTAGTAATATGCACATTACTGTTAAAATTCATATTTCTTAAAATATTTTGGGTGGCGGCCATCTGGCCTCTGCATCCTGCTAATTTGTAATTTATCAGTTAAGCTTCAAAATGTTGCCCTTTGCCACTTGTCTGACATAGCTCCTCAAGATGCTCTCTCTGAAAAAGCGAGTTCAAATCTATTATTGCACTAAGTGCCTTCTTTGACATATCAGCAACACCATCTCCAGCTACTACTGATATGTTTTTTTCTGTAGACTTTATAGCCAGGGATAAACTGTATCCCAGCAATTATCACTGTTGCATCTGGTTTCTAATATTCTATGAAACGTCTGAGTATTTGATTGCCTAGCCATTGTCTCTGCTAGCTTATTATCAGCTTCTGTCCCTTTGCAGGCATAGGTTCATAAGCATAGCTGGCTAATGGCTGAATAATAGCACCAGGTCCTGTGTCGTCGTTTACATTCACAGGAAGGAAAACAAACAGTAGTCCATTCTTTTATCACCGTATATCCCCTTCCCCTAGCAAGTGACATATTGTTGTAGACAGCTTCAGAATGTAAACATTCAAGTGGGTTACATCCAAAGTGCAGCCAACTTTTAAAAATCCCACCACAAAAAGTCTCCTCAGTTTGGAATGGTATGATATGTAGCGCAGGGGATTTCAGCAGGCATAGGCAAAATATCAGAAGCTGGGAGGGTGGAGTTTCCACTCATGTAAGAGATTTTCTGGGTCCCAGCTATTGCATTCGGTTCAACCAAGTCATATGGATTTCAATGAGAGAAAGTTTGGAACATGTTCAACTCTCCAATCAATTAACTTTGCCTCGATCATGCAAATCATACACAATGCTTCTAGCATGTGTTGTTCTAGATGCTAAAAGCAAAGGCACTGTGTGTCACTTGCTTTTGGTTTCTCATTCTGCGGAATTGATGTTGTCTGGTACAGTTCTTACAACCCCCAGGCCACTGGAGTCAGTGACTGAAGAAGTGGGCAATGACCTTTTAAGAAACAGCTCCTCAAGTGGGGTTGGATTAACAACAGGTCCAGCCCAACCAGCCTTCATAGTGCCTCAAAAGGCCTCAGCTGCTGAGACAACAGCTCCCCTGGGCTGTGACCTGTCCAGGGTCCTGACTGAATGGAAGTGACTTTTTTCTATCAGACTAGACCAGCAGTTCTCAAACAGTTTTCTCAGGACTACGCTTTCAAAATGAAAATTTGCTCATGCCGCACTGAATTTTTTATTGATAAGAAATACATTGGAAAACAGAAAAAAACCAACTCCTAGCAATGCTTGATTTATAACATAGAACACAATTACTTTATAATATGATCATGAGATATCCAGAAAGTATAAAACAATGCAACCATATAAGAACTTGAATCATTCCCAGAATATAATTCTAAACAAGCCTCTTACATACATACCTTAAGTATATAACCACATTTATATTAGGTCTAATTTGAGACAAACAAACTTTCATTTCCTCATCAACACAAAGAAGCCTTTCTCTTTTCTGACCTTTCATATTTGTCAGAGCTGAAAACTCCTGTTCACAACAATAAGGCTCTTGTTTCTGAGGTCTGACTCTCCCTATGAGGAATCCTGCAATATACTGGGTTCTTTGCCATTGGATTTGCTGCAGCACATATGTCCCTAAGCTGATTCTCACTTATACTCTGACCTTGTGGTTCAAAATGGAACTTATATATATGCCTGCACACAAAGTTCTACTTTGCTACAACTTCCACACGTTCTTTATTGTGACAAGTTCTTTCTCAAACAGCATCACTGCATGCTGCACACCACTCCTTTACTGGAGATTTTCATAAGCAGTTTCTGCTATGATATGGGGATCCACTTCTCAAAAGAGGGAGAATGTCAAACATTCCGCTTGGTTTTGGGTCCACCTAAAGTAGCTCCTGGGAGCACAGCCATGGTCTGCGCAGACTGCTGTTCTTTCTCTGGTTGTTGCTGGTGTTTCTGGACCTTCCTGTTGAAGAGTTAGTCTTGATTTTCTGCCAGACATAGTGACACAGAATGAAACCCAGATGTGACCACATCAAAAACAAAACTTTCATTAAGCAAACAGATCTTTTAATTTATAGTGCTAACTCCATGTGGAAAAAACCTGAGAAGTATTTGAGAAATACAGCTAAGCACTCATAATGTTTGGAGAGAGCTGAATAAGAAAATCCATACTTTGTATGTGCTTCTTCTTCTCTGGGCTGTGTTCTGTACATTGCCTGACCCTGAACTGCCAATCAGGATGTTATTAAGCAGAATCTTCCTTGCACTGGCAGAAGGTAGGACTACATTACCTCTACTATTCCGTGTTCCATTGTGGGAGAAGGAAACCCAAGCCCGGGTGTCTTTCCCTTTAAAAAACTTAATTGCTTGGTGAAAATTCAGAAACAAAAAGCAGCAGTGTATTCTCAGGCCCCATCTGCTCAATACAGATAAAACAGTATCATACCAAGCCATGGCTTCCCTCAAAGAACCCTGGGAAGTGTAGAACCTTGTAGCAATACTTGGATCTTGCAACTGACATATGTCCACCCATCTTCCTAAAATGTGTACCCCAACATACTATAGAGTGCTAATGGACTCAGAATTGAGGCTGAACCTAAGAACGTCTTTGCTATGTACACTAGCTGGAGTCTAACTAAGGAAGCAGAGGAGATAAGCAAGAATGACCAGGCCTTAGATGCATGAGAACTCTAGTAAATGTTCATTCTTTTGCATGTTCCCTATGTTTTACTCTCTCCATTCTATTATAGCTGTAGCTCAATACAGCTTTACAATATTTTGAAATGGTCTGATCTATCACCACTTTGTTCAGTTGGTGGGAAGACTCCGATGAACTCCTGGTTTGTAATGTATTATTATTTATTGTTTTGCTAGAACTTTTAGCTGAAATCATTTGCAAGGATACAAAAACACTAGGTGTCATAATAAATCAACAGGAACATAAAGAAAATTTATTTGCCGATGACATTGTGATTAACAAATGATACCCTGACAGCAATTCCTGCTTTAGTTAATAATATAGACAGGTGTGGTAATGTGCTGTCTTACAAATTAATTGTACTAAATCTAGGAGAGTATGAATATTCTACCAGGGCTAAAGGTTTCACTCTATATCACAAACATTTCCATTATCTAGGAGTAACATTTCCTCCCAATTGTAAAAAAAACCTGCAGATATCACAATACTGGTATATATGTATCTATGGCTCGACTGCACTTGGAATACTGTGTGTGGTTCTGGTCACGTCAGCTCACCTAGAAAAGGATATTGTAGAGTTGTTAAAGGTTCAGAAAAGGACTATCAAAATTATCAAGGGAATGGAGTGACTTCCCTATGAGGAAGGGTTGCAGCATTTGGAACTTTTTAGTTAAGAGAAAAGGTAAGAGGGGACATGATAGGTAAAGGTAAAGGGACCCCTGACCGTTAGGTCCAGTCGTGACTGACTCTGGGGTTGCAGGGCTCATCTCGCTTTATAGGCCATGTGGCCAGCATGACTAAGCCGCTTCTGGCGAACCAGAGCAGCGCATGGAAACGTCCGTTACCTTCCCACCATAGCGGTACCTATTTATCTACTTGCACTCTGACGTGCTTTCAAACTGCTAGGTGGGCAGGAGCAGGGACCAAACAATGGGAGCTCACCCCATCGCAGGGATTCGAACCGCGACCTTCTGATCGGCAAGCCCTAGGCTCTGTGGTTTAACCCACAGCGCCACCCATGTCCCAGGGGACGTGATAGAAGTTTATAAAATTATGCATGGCATGGAGAAATCAGACAGAGAAAAGTTTTTCTTCCTCTCTCATAACACATGGAGTTGAATGTTGGAAGATTCAGGAAAGATAAAAGAAAGGACTTATCCATGCAATGCACAGTTAAATTATGGCACTCACTCCCACAGAAGGCAGTGACAGCCACTAACCTGGATGGTTTTCAAAGAGGATAGACAAATTCATGGGTGAGAGGGCTATCGGTGGCTACTAGCCATGATCAGCTGCCTAGGACAAATCATTCCAAGCATGTAGAGAAATTTGTTTTTGGACGTTGTGAAATCTGCTTAGAGAAGCCCAGTACCGAGCAAAAGATATCTCAGTTGGGTTGCTTATGTAATTTGTAAAATTAATGGCTTGTGTACTTCCTAGCTGTGTGACATTTACCTTACCCCCTGCCTCCATCTGGAGCCTGCTACAGGTAGGGTGCAGTGAGCTCTAAGCAGCTCTTCACTGAGCCTTAGCAAATTATTCATAGCTGCTGCTTAGATGCAGGCTTTCAGTATGTAAGAGGTAAATGCAGCGGATACCTCTTGGTACTATGGCCAAGGACTAAAATGTAGCACACACGAAAGAGACAGCATAGCATAGTAGCTACAATGCTGAGATAAAAGACCCTGAGACTTCCCTCTGCCATGATCCTAGGCAAACCCTCTCAACTCAGTTGCCTGCCCATCTTGGGGTAATAATAACAATAATCTATTTTATAATATTGTTGTAAGGATTCCAATAGGCATTATGTTGTTTCTTTTTCTATTCTAACTTTCAAATGAGCAGTTTCCTACATTCCCCAGTCCCCCAAATATGCACAGACCGTCACCTTGTCTGCAGGTAGCATCTTTCACTGATAGCCATGGCTCAGTGATCTGTCTTGCAAGCAGGATGTCCCAGGTTCAATCCCCGACAGATCCAGATAGGGTTGGGAGAGAGTCCTGTCTGAAATCCTGGAGAGCTGCTGCCAGTCAGTGTAGACAATACTAAACTAGATGGACCAATGGTCTGACTTAGTATAAGACAGCTTCCTAAGTTCATATGTTCCTAAAGGACCACCAAGTATGGTACTTGGTGTTTAAATGTGTAATTTGGGCTATGTCCCAAAAAAGTGCTTCCATTGGTACAAGGACTTCTGGCTGTGCAGCAAATCTTCCTCTTCTTTCTGCCTGGATTTTCTCCCAATGCTCTGGAGCAGATTTGGAGAGGGGGCACAGGGAGAGGAGAGGAAGGGGAAGTTCCATTGAACAAGCAGAAACTTGTGCAGATGTACTTCATTGGATACTGCTCAGTTTTATTAAAATTTCCAAAGGTCCCAGTACTCAGTTACTCCTCCTCTCACAATAGCACCTTCAAGGTACATTTCCCAAATTTGCTCTCCATACATGAATCTATCAGTTAAATTAAAATATGAATCAGTAAAACTAAAGAAAGACAATTTTCAGTAATACAGTGGTACCTCGTGTTAAGAACTTAATTCATTCTGGAGGTCTGTTCTTAACCTGAAACTGTTCTTAACCTGAAGTATCACTTTAGCTAATGGGGCCTCCCGCTGCTGCCGCTCCACCAGAGCACGATTTCGGTTCTCATCCTGAAGCAAAGTTCTTAATCCAAGGTACTATTTCTGGGTTAGCGGAGTCTGTAACCTGAAGCATATGTACCACTGTACTACTGTCCACAGCAGCAGTGATTGCAGCCCAACATGGCCGTGGGAAAGCCAGAGGGGGCCGGTGAGGATCCTCTTCCAGGGGGCAGCAGCTGCGTCATCAGGTACAGTCAGTCATGGGGTATGCTGGGTCTTCCCACCAAAATTTTTAATTCAGATTGACAAGTTGCAGCTGTTCAACAATAGCTGGATGGAATCCCCACCCCCACCAACAAGTATCAGTTTTCTGTAATATATGCAGACCGGGACTCAATTGTCTTTGATTGCCAGATATATTTCCACTGGTTGACTTGCATTTTCTCCCTATATATTTTTCCCATGCAACTTTAAGACCCATAGATTTTTCCACTGAAGTATATTTTACACCCCGTGTTCCAGGAATCACCCTCTGCTTCCAGCACAACATTCTCAAAGGCTGTTAGAGTATGGGTGGTTTGTCCCTTAATAAACTGATTTCAAATAAATTTGTTGAATCTGCAGCCATTTGGTCTTAAGTCCCATTAGGCCAGGTTTCAACTGTTCCTCAATACTGCATCAATTACTGGGGTAAGAAATGGTGTGAATCTTTGCCACCCTTTGCAAATAAGCAGAACTTTTAAAAAGGAACTCTATTATAAAAAGTTCTGCAAGAGGTTAATAGTATAGTAACTAAGTAAAATGTTTCTTCTTTAGAGAAAGAGGTTGTATTGTTAATAGAAGCAAAACACTTTTCTAGCGTGTTCGCCTACATTATTTAATAACCCTTTTACTAGTGTAGTAATATCTGAAAGATCAACATATTCAGAAAAGTACCAGTTTCAAGTACTCTACTTGTGGCGATTTAGCAGGTTTGCTTGAACACAGCAATAAAAAAATCTCTGCACTAGAGAAGTTCAAGGTTCTCCGTAGAGCCTTTTGAACACAGCAAAAACAAAAAAGAAATCTGCACGGTGTTATTAAGCTCTAATTGTATGACAGAGATAGACGATAAACTTTTCAGGCCTCGTTGGTCAGGTTATTCAAATAGTCGTTCTGCCACTGTGGTTTAAAAGAACGTTAAACCCACAGCTGTATGGTGAGCGCTTCAAGCAGGGAAGTTGCACTGCTATATAGAGATGTTGGTTGGATCGGTTGAAAACCGTCTATCGAGTGCATTTCTTTCTGTCCACACATTTCTGTGCATTTCTGTCCACAATCAAACCATGGATTCTTGCTACGAATGCTTTTTACTTTAGTTCTCTACATCAAAGGTGGCACACATTATATGTAAATAGATTAAAAATGTCTTAGCAATCTATATTATTTTCATAATTGTTAATGTATGATTGCTGCTTCCTCCCCTCCCCCCCCAATGGCCTCATTGCATTGTCTTTTGTCTGTTGTGTTGTTTGTTGACTTTCTATGTGTAGAAGTTATTGGTTGCTAGATGCTGTAATCTTAAAACTAAGATAGCAAGGCTATAATCCTAACCCCATTTACCTAGGAATAAACCAACTAAATTCAATGGGACTAACTTCTGGGGAATATAGTTAGGACCGCAGCTATAGATGGATTTGTGATGGGCCTTTGGCCACCCCCTCTAAGCA